GGGAGGGCAAAAAACGGGCCTTCCGGACGTTTGAGAGGGCATCAAGAAAAGCCTCCGGAGCCCGGGGAGGGCAAAAACGCCCATCTATCCCCACCGTGGTACAGGAGGCCGACTAGGCCACACCCACCATGGCCACGCCCATCCAGCAACTGGGCAGAGAACCTCTTGCTAAAATTTTTGAACCCCACTCCTGGACTGAATAGATCATAGGAATCCTGCCAAGGGTTTGATTGACCCAGTCAACTGTCTGAGACCGTTTTCCTTAGGCAAATGTTTCTCCTTTTAATTAATGGCCTGCCTCTCTCTCTCTCTTTTTTTTTTTTGCATTTCAGTGTTTGAACTTGTGAAAAAAGGGTAAGACGATTATTGTTTTCATCGTTTCTAACTAATCGTGTACATGTTGCATTACAGAATAAGGGGAGAAATTGTTGCCTTAAGCATTTTACCCCTTGTAGGCAAGATTTGTCGATCTCTGTGACTTTAAGAAGAACTGTGGACTTCCAGTCCCAGAATTCCCTAACCATGGGGGATTCTGGGAGTTGAAGTTCACACATCTTAATGACTGGAGGATTCTGGGAGTTATAATCCACATGTTTTATAGCCGCTGAGGTTGGAAAATACTGCCGTAGATTCTGTTTTAAAAATTCTATTTCCCCACGAGGACTATAATGAGACTCCCAATTTTTTTAGCAACGGTTGGCTCAGCGTGTTTGAGCCCTGAACTAACCACGTTTAAAGTGTTCGCTATGATTTATACAAACCACGACAGCCCACACTTTGCACTGAGCCGTAACATGGTTTGTTTATTTTTGGCTCGATGGAATGAGCCAATCCACGCTTTACAACATAATGCAATATGCCAGTGTTGCTTACTTAGCCAATTGTTTGGCTCCCGAGGGAATAAAAACGGCAGGTGCCAGGTGTGCCGGACTCAAGGAAAGGCTGCCACTCCCTATTTTATTGTCTGCTTCTCTTCCATCCGAAGTGGTCCCTGATTCTGACTTCTATTTTTCCCTTTGCAGGCCAGTGATGGAAGTTCCCAATCTGAAACCTCTTACTGAGGACCAGGCACGATTCTATTTCCAAGACCTGCTCAAAGGCATTGAATATTGTGAGTGTGTAGAAAAAAAACCCACAAAGCTTAGCACCAAGGCCTGGGTGAATGTGGGAGCCTATAAAACAGGAACTGCTCCCTTGTCCTTATTTTGCAAACCAGACGCCCAAAGAAGCGAACGTCTCACGATTAACGTTTCCCCGCAGTACACTACCAAAAAATTATCCACCGGGATATTAAACCTTCCAACCTTTTGGTGGGAGAGGACGGTCACATCAAAATTGCCGATTTTGGCGTGAGCAACGAATTCAAAGGATCGGACGCCTTCTTAACCAACACGGTCGGCACCCCAGCATTTATGGCCCCCGAGACGCTCTCGGAAACCAGGAAAATATTTTCAGGAAAGGTAAGTGGAGGGAAGGAAAAAAAAGCAGCACGCGTGTTCCCGAGTTCCCGTGTTTTTCTAGCCTCTGGTAGGAATTGAAAAGGTTTTTAGAACTGATCCCTCATTCAAGCTGACACGGTCTGCAAACCCGGCCTAAAAGAAACCAACTTAACCTGGGATTTTTGGCCGAGGGCGTTGTGTAAATCCTGACAATTGTGGCTTAGTTAAAGTTTGGTTAAACAAACCTTAAAATGCTACAGTATGTGAACCTAGTTGGTCGGTGAGTTATTGTTAATTGGTGGCTTGGGGATTTATGTCCGTGCCTAAATTAGAATAGAATAACAAGAGTTGGAAGGGGCCTTGGAGGTCTTCTAGTCCAACCCCCTGCCTAGGCAGGAAACCCTACACCGCTTCAATTGTGAACCAATTGCGAAGCTGTGTGATCATAGGATCGACCACTAGGTCTTCAAGGCAGGTCACTAGATCTTATGGCAGTTCCCCTATTTCCCTGTGTCCCAGGTTTGATGTGTCAGGATAATAAGAATTTACGCCAGCCTTGGAAAGTGAGTGGAATAGAGAATGGCAAAATACCATTCTAGATATTTTTCCTAGTTCATAATAGTATCAGTGATAATAATGGAAGGAGCAAGCATTTTTGAAAAGCTAATGTTCTCTCCTCCTCTCCCCCTTTCTCGCTATCCCTATCACCCCTCCCTCCCTCCTTCCCTCCTTCCTTCCCTCCCTCTCTTTCCTCCCTCCCTTCCCTTCCCTATATCCCTCCCTCCTTCCTTCCTTCCTCCCTCCCTCCTTCCCTTCCTATCTCCCTCCTTCCCTCCCTCCCTCCTTCTCTTCTTTCCTTCCTATCTCCCTCCCTCCTTCCCTCCCTCCCTCCCTCCCTCCCTCCCTCCCTTCCTTCCTTCCTTTCCAAGGCTTTAGATGTCTGGGCAATGGGAATCACGTTGTACTGTTTCGTCTTTGGACAGGTAACAAAACCTCCTTTTCTATCTGTTTGCTAATTTTTCCGTTGGTCCTATGCCAGGCCAAAGAAAGCATTCAGTTTACAGAATCCAAGCCTCTTAATAATGGATATTAAGTCAGGCAGAAATGAATGGCTCTCTCAATTGTGGTTTTGTCATTTTCTCCCACTCCTTTCAGTTGCCCAATTCCTCTGCTAGGCTGAAATTCCTTTAATAAAAAAAAGTGCTAAAACTAAAATGCGTTTCCGCGTACAATTCTGCAAACAGGCAAGATTGCAGAATGTGTTTTTAATCCGGTTTTGTTAATGCCACGAAAATACACTTTTTTAAAAGCTTGATGCGATTAATGTGCCTTTTTTACGGAGCAAGGCAGCTCCTTCACCACAATTGATCGATAGACCCCAGGAATGTGATGTTAAACCCTTTGTAGGTGACCAATTCTGGCTCAGGTTTATCGTAGATCTGTTGCCACTCACGCGGTGTGATTTGAAGGAGAACTCAGCCAGTTTCTTCTCTATACCACCACCACCCCCCAAAAAAAAATCTGTGCCAGCCATAATATCTCCCTGGGGTATTCTTTCTTCTCAGTGTCCTTTTATGGATGAGCGAATCCTCAGTCTGCACAGCAAAATCAAGAGCCAAATGCTGGAATTTCCGGACCAGTAAGTAAGAATCCTGCAATCTCCTGCAAAATCAAGGATGACAAAAGGCGGCTCCCGATTTGCAAAGGGAAATTTGAATTCTGGAAGGGCCCCTTCGCTTCCCTTCCCTTCCACGCTCAATGGGGAGGGAGGGAGGGAAGACCCCGGATCTCACCTTGAGTAGATGCGTTGATGCTTTTAGAGGCATTACAAGTTCTCAGCACCGCTTCAAAAATTTTAGCAAGGGGTTCTCTGTCCGGTTGCTGCGTGGGCATGGCCTAGTCGGCCTCCTGCACCATGGGGAGGTGGGGGGCGGGAGCATTTTTGCCCTTCCCAGGCACCGCAGCCTTTCCTCGAGCCTCCAGGGAGGCAAAAACGGCCTCCCCAGGCTCCAGAGGCCCTCTGGAGGCCAGAAACGGGCCCGTATTTCTGATCACAATTCAGATTGTTGAACCCAACTTCCTTTGAAGGGCAGGGCAGAGATAAATTCTTACCACTTTTACTACTTAACTACCATAGCTCAACCCAAAAGGCATCGTCCTTATTTGATTTATTTTTTTTTAATCATCCAAGACCCGACATTCCTGACGAACTGAAGGATCTAATAACCCAGATGCTGGATAAAAAACCCGAATCCAGGATCACCATCCCAGAAATTAAGGTAACTTCATGGCCAGCCTGTGTTTCCTGAAAACAGTAGAGACTAAATTTAGTGGAGATGGGAAGTTTTAATATATAACCAAAGTGCCATACTCCTTAGGATGTTTTTTTTTTTACTCCTAATTTTCTTTTTTAACTTTTGTTTCATTGTCTCACTTTTCTGTATCTCTGTTCTTTCATCTTTACAATCAGCCTGAAGAATGTGCAGTGTATTGATTCTGTATTTAATATTCCATATTTTTTTAAGATTCACCGTCATGCATTTGGGAGGGCTGGCTTTATTAATCGCAATAATACACACATACATACATAAAATCTATATATATAAAAGCGAAATACCACTCACGCATCATCACAATATCTCCAGAACCGTAAAGCCTACAAACTTGAAATTTGCCACGTATGTTCCTCTTGGCTTCTAGGTGCTCACTAAGAAAGGATTTTTCGAAATGACCATCAGAGCATTAGTATTTCCTATATTATGATTAACACGCTCTGATGCTAAGGACTTTTACTCCGCCTCCCCACCTGAAAAGAAATCTGTTCCAAATGCAAAGCACAAGCAGAGGAGAGGCGTTTCAGTTTCAGTTTTACTTTCACAGCAGCAAGCAGGGGATAGGATAGGGGAGGCTTCTGTGGGGAAAGGCTGAGTGAGAGAAGGGTAGAGGAGAGGCCGATCATAACTACTCATTAATTTCCAAGCTGTAAGTGTCGATTTATCAAGCCCGATCACATAAGTTCGTAGCGGAGCACGGGTATTCAGCTAGTAAAGTTATATCCCAATGCGGGATTTGCATAATCCTTACGAAAATCCAGTCAGTTCATTTATTCATCACCTACCCAGGTTTCTTCAATCATTCATCCGAGTTGGCTGGCCCTATCCGGCAGTTTGCCATCCCAAGAAATACATTTGGCAATCGGTTCCCCACCTCTCTTACATTGGCATTAATTTTTAAATATCCCACTGCCCGCTTCCATGTCTTCAGTGCAGGTAGTCCTTGGCTTACAACCGTTCACTTAGTGACCGCTCGAAGTTACGACGCCACTGGGAAAAAAGTGACTTACGACCGTTTTTCACACTTACAACCAGGATCAAATGTGACAAGAAAGCTTGTAAGATGGGGCAACACTCACGTAACAAGCATCTCCCTTAGCAAGATAAATTCTGGGCTCAATTGTCGTCGTAAGTTGAGGATGACCTGCATGGCCAAACCTTTCTGGGATCTTTTCTGAAATGAGCTGCCAACGCTTGTCTCTTCCTCTCTCTCTCTCCTTCCCTCCCTCCCACCTCTTATCCGTGCCCCCAGCTGCATCCGTGGGTCACTAAGAATGGCATCGAACCGCTGCCGACCGAAGATGAAAATTGCACGCTGATCGAGGTGACCGAAGAAGAGGTGGAGAATTCGGTCAAGCACATCCCCAGCTTAGCTACCGTGGTGAGTGGACTTCAGATATCCCGTCCCGCGGTTGACACGCTGCCAGCCTTTCAGGAGTGTCGATCCGACGTCTTTCAAATCAGCTCCAATTTCGGTAATGGCTTTACCATTAAACCGTTATTGGTCTGCGGGGAGAGCCAGAGAGCTGACTAAGAGCTTATGAAGTGGGAATAATGGACTCAGCCGGTCGGAGTCTAGATTTACCCTGTGCAAGAGATTGATGAAGGCTGCCTCAAGAGTACAGGTAGTAGTCCTGGACATACATCAGTTCATCTAGGCTGCATCAACAGAGGGATAGAATCAAGATCAAATGAAGTGTTAGAACCACTTTATAAGGCCTTGGTAATAAGGCCACACTTGGAATATTGCATTCAATTTTGGTCGCCACGATGTAAAAAAAGATGTGGAGACTCTAGAAAGAATGCAGAGAAGAGCAACAAAGAGGATTAGGGGACTGGAGGCTAAAACTTATGAAGAATGGTTGCAGGAACTGGGCATGGCTAGTTTGATGAAGAGAAGGACTAGGGGAGATGTGATGAGCACCACCCCTTGGAGTCGGGAATGACTAGCATAGATGTGCGAGGGGAACCTTTTCCCTTTTCCTTTGACGTAAATGCGGAACTATCTTCTGTTCTCAGATCCTGGTAAAATCCATGATCAGGAAAAGATCTTTTGGGAATCCGTTTGAGGGGAGTAGAAGAGAAGAAAGATTTCTGTCTGCACCAGACCGACAGACTTACTTGATGTAAGTGCATAGCCTCCCTCCCTCCCATTTCTTCCTTCCTTCCTTCCCTCTTCCTTTCCCTCTCCCTTTTGTCTTTCCTTCCTTCCTTCCCTCCCTCCCTCCTTCCCTCCCTCACTTTTGTCCTTCCTTCCTTCCTTCCTTTTTTCTTGAGATTGAATATCTCTTAAAACTTTAAAAAGTGGGGTGGGAGAAAATTGCCCCAGATCTTCCCTTCCTACAGGGAGCGAACTCTTCAAATGAAATAAAAATGGTCATATCTCCCTCACTCACACCCCATCCCAAAATCATTGTGATCTTTCTTTAAGGACAAAACGTTTTGTGCTTTGATGATCCTTGTCTTCCTTTCAAAGCAGAAAACAAAGCAGCGAAGAGGCTTTCCGCGCCACCAATGATCTGCCAAATGTGAGCGAAGATGAACTGCTTTCTTGAAAAAAACAAAAAACAAAAAAAAACCCCACCCTTGCCCTTCCTGGAAAGGGGGCTTCTGGTTAGCTTGCCAGGCGTGGTCTGTGAGAAGAGGGCGCCCTGCAGACAGTTGAGCCGGCTTGCCTTCCACGACGTTGGTTCATTGTTTAAATAACCGAATGTAAAGATTTTTGTGACAGCATGCTGTACAGATCAGAACCCATTCCCTCACCATCCAAAAAAGATCTCTGCTGATTTAAAAACAGGATGTGGGAACCGAGGAAGGGGATTATCTTCAGGCTCGCTGGCGGTCATTCCCCCAGCTGTGAAGCATCGTGCCGAATTTCCAAGGGGGGAAAAAAGCAAGGCAAAGAAACTCACCAAAAATAAAACTGAGTTTGGAAAGAAACCGACATCTGCTCAGGCCAAATCCTCTGCAAAAAAACACGGTCCGATTTTTAAAATATATATATTAAAATATATATATCAAGGGCGGCTAAACCACAGTGCTTCCTGCCAAACGAGGATCAAGAAAACGCTTGCTTTGGGGTGTTTTTTTTTCCCTAAAAAAAAATAATTATTATTGTTACCCTTTTTATTGCATGGAAACCAAACCGATGTCAAACTAAGGGGGCTATTTGCCGAAGGCTTCGCTTTTTGTGAGCGGGCGATTCAGTTTTATTTTAAGAGCCGGTTTTGGAAGATTCTTGAGGTTTTCGTCCGAAGCGAAAGACGGAAGGGATGCACATCGCCAAGGGGCAAGGCCTCGCATTTGAAGATGGGCCGCGCGGTTGCATTCAAGCACAAATGGCCAACATGCATTTTGTTTGGTGCAACAATCTGCTTTGGCTGGCAGAGCCCAGGCTGGTATTTCCTGATCATAATTCTATACTTTATATCTGTGTTACTGTATAGCTACGTTCACAAAATTCAGGGTTTTATAGCCATCCGGTGCTTGCTGGCATGTTTCATAGTCAAATAAACTTTCAAGGATGGACGTAGAGATTCTGCAGTTTTTCCAAGACTCTCCCAAGGATTTAAACCAAAACCAGATTTCTTTTTCTTTTTGCTGTTGGAACACTTTTACGATTCGCTTACCAAGAGTAGTTTCACCGCCCGTTTTCCTCCGCACTTCTGGATAGAAAGCAGTCGGCATTACGTATTCCGGCAGAGTCGCAGCTCCTAAGGGAGGGAACGGTTGTCGAAACCAATTCACAGGGGAGCGCGATGTATTATGGACCTCACCTGTAATCTTTTTCACAGATTAACCTCGCTCGGAAGTAATACGGCTCACCCAAGTCTTTGCATCTGCTTTTTTTTAAAAAAAGCAGCCAAGAATTAACGCATGGAAAGGCTGCTGTGGTTCTTTTTTTTGTTTTGTTTTGTTTTTTTTAACAAAAACATGTTTTAAAAAAAAAGATTAAAAAGTTCTCATTCCATTAAAAAAAGAAAAAAAAAAAAACACTGAGCATCAGAATATTTCTGGCCGGTTCCTTGTGTGCAGGCCAGGTAATTTGGGATGTAGCTTTCTTCATATTCTAAACCGGCCAGATTGTGAGACATTAACATTTGTTGCTGTGAAAGCAAAAGGAGAAGGGCTAATTGTAATTGGGGGGGGGGGCTGCATGTTTTCATGTGCTGCTCCCCCCAACAGTGGAAATACCAGTCAGGAATGGTGTGAATTGTGGTCAAAGAAATGTAGGGATTATGAAAGAAGCGTTGAATGGATTAATTTGGGTTTTTGTGCTTGCAGTGTGTCTATATAGCCATTTGTGATGTTGCTACTTTAAGAATCAGGAATGTTAAGTCTTTCAAAGCATCTTTTTAGAAGGCCAGCTACCTTTCGCTGCTGAAGAATCCCTGACAATTGCTAATTTTTATATCGGCAAGGAATGCCTCAAGTTTGCACTACATTACAGCCCTCCTAGCTTCCAGCTTCCTACTATGCATTCCACTTTTATGAGGTATCCGATCACAATGTATTTAACCCTTCTGTTAAATACAGATTTAAAAAGACTTTTTGGGGGACTGCGTTCTGTATTCAGGCTAAAAAAAGTAGAGAATTCAGAAGAGCCTGAGGACTCTAATCTGAAATTGTAAACCTAGGTAAATTTGCTCAGAAGTTAGTCTCATGTTCAATAGACCTTCCCAGATCAATACTTATATCCTCTTTTTCTTTTTCTTTCTTTTTCTCTTTCTTTTTCTTTCTTCCTTTCCTTTTTTCTTTCTTTTTTTTTTAGAAACTTTATTGAGATTTTTTAAAGAACAAAAAAGATAAAAAGAAAAAACAAACAAACATTCAAACAACGTAGAACACATAAATATAATATACATTTTCAATTTGTATCGGATGTGCAGTGTTTTAACTATTTACATAAATAATACTTGGTGACAGGTGGTACAAGTGGTTGCATGATAAAATGAAAAAAAGATCTAAAGGTGTGTTAAATATTGGTTAAAAGTGAGTTAAAATGTCTCCTTTCCTTTTTCCATTCCTTTTCTTTCTGTCGCTTTCTTTCTCTCTCTCCTTCCTTCCTTCCTTCTCCCTCCATCCCTCTCTGACTATGGGGATATTTTGTTGATACTGTTATTTTCAAACTCAACCATTCACTAACATGAAGGAAAAAAAAGCAACAGAAATCGTATTTCCCAGTGCCTTTATTTTCTCTTGGCAAAATAGATTATTCTCATCGATACTCCTAAAAGAGGTAAAGTGCCATTATCTTTTCATTTATATATTAAATTTATATAAATTTATATAAATTTATATAAATTTATATAAATTTATATAATTTATATAAATTTATATAATTTATATAAATTTATAAGGGCAGTATACAAATCAAATAAAACAAACAAACAAAACAAACAAACAAATTTCAGTGGATATAAACAGAGCAGTAGCAATTCAATAGTAGAAGCTGGAGAGGGAGAGGCTGACACGCCCGCATGTCGCATTCAGATCCTGGGGATTTCCAGGTTGGAATGAGTGTCGAGAGGGAATTCTCAAGATCCGCTTAATTTTAAAAATAGAGACTGCAAATTGCACCAAGTGGGCCTTTTTTAAAAAAAAGGATGACCATGGAAGACAAGTGTCTAAACAAGGGGTATCTTTCCACCCTTTCCGAATGAAGAGAGGTGTGATACGTAACAAAGGGAAGCACATCAGAAATTGGCAATTCTAGGAATATCAAAGAAGTTCCTTGGTCCCAACATCTCTGCCTGCACCCCATCTGTCCATCAACTGGACGGTGGGAAAGGCACGTAGAATATCCGATGCAAAATTACCTTGGACTATTCAAAGCTTGGCAGACCCTGCACCCAAAAAGCACTGAAGGTTTTTCAGGAGAACGTTCCTTTCCTTGGGGGAGCCTCGAGGTTGATCCAGGAGGCCACCCAACAGAAGCAAACCTGGACGGAGCCCAGGAGGGGCAGAAGAAAAACAGATCTGCTCCTCGGCTGGGTGAAATGAACAGGACCTGTTTGCGAAGAATCATCGCATTGTGGAGCAGTCTTGAACTTCTGTCTGGGATCCATATGACGGGTGGTCTCCCTGCTAAAATAAGCACAACTTTCAGGATGGGAGAAACCAATTAGACCAGGGGTGTCCAACCTTGGTAATTTTAAGACTTGTGGATTTCAACTCCCAGGATTCCCCACCAGCCAGCATAGCATAGCTGGCTGGGGAATGCTGGGAGTTGAAGTCCACAAGTCTTAAAGTTGCCACGGTTGGACACATTGAATTAAGACTGACATTTTCCTCCCAAATTGACAGATTAATAAAAAATGGATCACTCATTCAGAGAAAAATAATTTAGTTTCTTTGTATAACAAGATACCTGAATTAATTCAACATTCTCTCTCTCTTTGTGTCTCTTTCTTATACAAATTATAATTCTTGGACAATCTGGAGAGACCACAAGCAATTCCACTGCCAAGTTTGCAGTTAACTTCTTTACTTCTGAAGGGCAAAGCTAAATCCCATAAGTAGGAGAATATCGGTTTTTATTTAGTGGTTTGGGTACAAAGTGCAAACCGTATAAAAACAGATGGGAAGTGGCAAGCTTACCAATTCGTAATCTTCCACGTATTTGTATTTCTTCTCTCTGTAGTAGTATCTTTTCTTCATAAAATACAGGACAATGATATCACAGAGGACAGTGGCCTAGATGAGGTTTCAAGGAATTTATTTTAAGAAATGAAATCTTCCAAAGTTCAGGAACATTTTAAAAAATTGCTCAGGAAAAAGAAAATAAGTTTCTTACCACGCCAAACAGGGCCAAGCCAGATCCAATATTGATCATAGTAGGGATGATATCAAACTTTCCAGCCTAAGATGTATGAATATAAGCAAAATATTCTATTATATCTCCTTAAGAACACTGCAGAGATTATCTATATTCTGTTTTCGACTCACACAATGAACTAAAGCTGTGATCTGACTTGTTGCCATATGTGACTCTATTGATGGTGGTTTAGGCGTCATAATTAATGGCTCAGAGCAACATTTCTCAACTGGAACTGCTTTCCAAGAGTACAGATAAGTTACAAAACATACACTTTCCAAAAAACTTACCGTGCCAAACACCATAATGTCAAAGCGTATGCCATAAGCCTTGATGAGTGTCCGATATTCATTGTTGGGAGAGGTTCGGTAGTATCTTGCAAACCTAAACCAGAGAAAATAAGTAAAATTCAATCCAATGATTAATGACACCACCAGAGCAACATTTCTAGGCCAGAAATACGCCCCCCCCCCCACCCAAATCAAATATTTTAAGTCTCACTACCTTTCCAAGATTGATGGGCCATTCATGTATATCCCCAAGAACTTCATAGTTATTACAAAATATTATCCTTCTCAGTAAAAGTTTAGTCGATTATAGTCACCTGCTACGTTCATACAAAATACCTACGAGACCGTCTTTTGCCACCAATAGCCTCCCACCGACCAGTTCGTTCTCACAGGGAGGGACTACTCAGGGTACCGTCAGTCAAATTATGTCGACTGGCGACTCCCAGGGGGAGGGCCTTCTCTGTGGGGGCTCCAACCCTTTGGAATGAACTGCCCCCGGAGATACGGAATATCCCTGATCTCCGTGCTTTCCGCCGTGCCCTCAAGACCCTGATGTTCCAACAGGCGGGGCTAAACATACGAACATGCGAATGATTTTTTAAAATGTTATCTAATTCTGGGTTTTATTTCATTGACCAAACTAAGTAATAATTTTAATTAGCAGTTTTATGATGTTTGTGTGTCTATATTTTTCTTGACTGTACACCGCCTTGAGTCCTACGGGAGAAAGGCGGTATAGAAATATAATAAATAAATAAATAATAAATCAAATCAAATCAAAATACCACCTCAGGTAGTTTCTCCCAGTTAAAACAAACTCGGAAATATATTTTACACGTTATCTAGCAGCAGCCCCTTCACCAACTTTGGCAGTAAAAGCAGTAAAAAATCACCAGGGGGAAATCGTAAAATTAAAAACACAAAAACAAAATACTGTTTTGGCATAAAACAGTAAAAGTCACCGTGTCACATCTGAAATTGTCCGGAGATAAAAGCATCTGCGTTTGGTGCAGAAACGAAATCAGCCTCTGGAGCCATCAAGTCGCCCAGTTCCAGTTCAGATGTCCCACCACCCACTTCCAGCTTTGGCTGCTTGAACGGCCTTACCTGAAGTTGTATCCTGGGGAAACGGAATGAGCAGAATCCTTGTTGTCAATTCGCCGAAAGGAATACTTCGGCACGCAGTGGGAAGCCGAGTTATCCAAGTTGCAGTCCCATCGGACCTGCAGGCCCATCACGCCACCCTGCAAAAGGACGTAACAAGCAGGCACAAAGGCTATTACCACCCTTGACCGACACCTGTCCGATGCGCCTTCGCTGGAGCTAATTGTTGTGGTCCGCCAGCAGCCCGCGGAGCTAGCAGCGGAGTCGGACAGTGAGGAGGCTGAGAAGGACCATGGGCCAGTCCTGGAGTCTGGGGAAGGCCTGGACGAGATGGGGCCGGGGCCATCTGGGAGTGATGTATGGACTCCGGAGCCTCCAGAGGTGAACAGCAGAGAGGCAGAGAAACAGGAGGAGCCTTTCCTAGTGCACACATGCGCAGAGCTGCCAGAAGGTAAGAGCAGCTAAAGCAAAAAGGACAACTCGGGAGTAAGGCCAGGATATGATTGGCTCTTCCCATAAGGCTTAAAAAGATCAGGAAAGGCACGTGGGCTCTTTGTAGGAAAGCAACGTTGCTACACCTGTTTTCCAGTCGGCATCTCTTGTTTCTGAAGTTCGTGGGGCTTTGCCAAGAAAGGCCTTTGGCAGGGTGCCAAAGAAGATAAAGGTTTGTGATAAGCCCGAAGGACTTTTTCTGAAGGACTTGTTTTGGAATTAATTTGGACTAAGCTGGGAATGAAGTAATTCTCAGCTGTTGTAATAAAACAGTTTTGTTTGGGACCAATTGTGCCTTGTAATGACTACGTGAGCCTGGGTCACAACACTGATGGCTCCAAATTTCAATGGATTTTGGTGGTTAGCTCTGATTCCCTTCAATACGTCAAGCCGTTAAGTGCCGCCTTTGGCAGGAATGAGGAAATCCCAAGTCAAATGAAATGGCTCTTCCTTGCCTGGCCCAATGCGTTTTGGGACCCACCTCAATGGCCATCTCTTGGAAGTTCTGGCCAGCGGCTTCAACTACGTCCCCGAGGCGAAAAATCGGGCAAAAGGGATCAGTCTTGGTGTTGTATTTACAGTTCTTGAGGTAGGTGTAATTGATGGTGGGAAGAATGTTTCTCCTAGAAGAGAAAAGAAGAGGCTTCTGGGTTTATGCACCTCGAAGGAGCCCATGTTCAGGTGCTAAGTAACCCCCAAGTAGGTCTGTCATAACTTTGATCACTAATATACATCACTATGTATTATGTTGTGCTTTCTCACTTCTTCAACCGTCTTTTCATCAAAATAGTGCCAGTGTTTCCCGGAGCCATTTTGCATAACCCACCTAAACCCCTAAATTTCTCTCCCTAGCCCCACTCCAACCAAAAGAGATTTTTTAAAAAAAATACACATACTTCGTAAAGTTGAACTTTGGGTACCAAATATTGTTCTTCACAAGAAGGGTAAATTCCTCAGCATCCCGCAAGAAAGCTGGCCTGGCAGCAATTGAGCAAAAGAGAGGGAGTTAAAAGAAAAAAAGAAGTATTTGTGAAAAGATCCAGTTTCTTACAGCCAAAGTTTTAATTCTTGCCCCATCACCACAAAACACCTTGATTTCAAACCCAACATCCCCACCCTTTCAAAAAGGACTTTGAGATCCGATGAGATGTGAGGGCAGGGTTTGCTAAAACACTAAACCAAGATCCGTTTTAGTTCAGTTTTCCCAAAGAAGCCACAATTAATCTTGCAAAATGGCAGCATCTGGACAAATGTCTATGGAGATTCTCAGTCACCCAGGTCAAGTTGTCTCAAAGGTGTTTTTTCAAAAGACGAAACGTTTTCCTCAAGGGGAAAAAAACCCACAATCCAGGTGCCTTTTGAAAAAGCACCTTTGAGACCCTATTTGGACAGTTGATTTTGTTTTCCTGCTAGAACCTGACTGAGATACAAATATAAGCCAGGATTGTAATTTCAGACATAAAGACAAGGAGCTGGCATCATCAAATAATTCAGCAAGGTGCTGTTTCTAGGAAGAGTTGCCTTCCACATCCTGCCATTGCCTTTCTCCTCCTCCTCCTCCTCCTCCTCCTCCTCCTCCTCCTCATTCCCCCTCCTTTCAGATGCTTACTTGGGTAAGTTTTCATCATTCTCCACTGGACACCAAGCAAAAACCTCGCAAGTCTTAATGGGGGGATTTGTATGGTTGTACACTATGCATTTTCCAGTCTGAATACCTGAAGGGATACAGAATGGACATCATAAAGTTGGAAGGAACCTGGGATCATCTCAAGACAGCAAAGGTGGATTAGATGGGGGAAGCCTTAAGCTTCACCCCATGCCGAGCCATTAAATGGACCTCCCCATATAACATGTTATCCAGGCCATCGCTTCTGAAACTGCAAACAGTATCTTCTGTTCAGTTCTATTTCACATTTTACAACCACATTGTAAACTTTCTGCTGGAAAGGTGATCGCCTCCTATCTAAAGAGGCTTTCAAGGGAAGGGAAGACCCTCAAGATGAAAAGCATGCCCCCTACCATTGCTGTGCGTGCCGACATAGCCTTTTTCGCAGTCTGCATCTGACTTGCACATGGTGGTCTTATCTGGGAGCTCGATAGGAAGAGCAGCGAAGAGATAAATAAACAATCTGTTATCTGTTCTGCAGTTCAAAGATCTCTTCGAATGCAACTGCCGACTTCACCTACCAGTCCCTTGGAAATATGGGGTGTTCTCGACTTACGACCACAATGGGGGCTAGAATTTCCATTTCTAAAGAAGGCAGTTGTCAAGTGACAGTCACACCCAATCTTACAACCCTTTTTTTGTCACAGTCCTTAAGCAAAACACTGACGTTGTTAAGTCAATGCTGAACGCCAAGCACCCACATTTTGATCACTTGACTGTGGAGATGCTGCAATGTAATTTTGAAGACTGGTCGTAAGTCGGTTTTTTTCAGTGACGTTGTAATTTAGATATTCTGCAATTTATAGAAATTGTGCTCCCAGTGCACACAAGGCAAAAAATAAAGCTGGGATGTAGACCAGATAGTATCTCCTGGCCCTTTCCGAACTCTGCTCCCAATTTCACATCCTCGCTTTTTGTTTCTCAGAGAAAAGACACACAAAATCTGATGATAAGCCACTTCTACCTCAGCCTACCTCTGGACAAAGCCCCTGGGTCTGATTCAGCGTGACGATCATATTTGTCATGATGAAAACCGAGTTCTCAGCCTAAAGAGAGGAAAGAAGCAGGATGGAAAAACGAGCTGAAGTGGTGAAGATGTTTGATCTGGATTTGAAGCCTGAAAATTTTTAGACTTCTTTTTGGAACAAAGCGTCTCTTGAATTAAAGATGCGTCTTTGCAGACTACAAGAAAAACATTTCACCGCTCATAAGTTACAAGTCTACATTTTTCCAGCCACTGTTGAGCTGCTGGAAAGTGTCATCATTTAGATAGGACCATCCATCTCCTTGAGAAGTGAAAGAATAATTTAAATATATTTATCCTGGGGTTAAATGCAAGATAAATACACGTTACGATATATAACGATACACGTTATAGGGAGAAAAATATGGACTAGTAGATAAGGAATTTTGCAGCGACTACAACTATGAGCTTGCAGGAGCAGTTTGGAGATAAACATTTCTCCACTTATCTCATATTTCACTCAGCGTTGCTACCACGGTAGCTAAAAACATCAGTGCTTTCTCAGAGAAACCAAACATCAGCATCCAAAGTTGCTCAACAGAAATTAGAGGTTGCAAACCAAGAGATCCATTGTACTCCGTTAGTAGAGGTTAAGGGAAGGAATCCTTCTAAAGCTGCCAAAACCACAACAAGATTGGTCTCCCATGGACTCACCTGAGATGGAATCACGTAATCCGCCACATCCCAAACCCGGGGTCCCAAGTCAGAGGTGTTGGTCATGGTGACACCTTTCACCTTGGTGGTTACCGAGCTCACCACCGAGTCGGTTTCTTGGTAGCCTTTTTCCCAAACAAAGACCCAACTGCAAGGAAGAGGAAAAATCTTTCAATATGGCTGCCTCAGAGAGAAAGAAAATGGATTTAAATACCATGTGTGTCTGAACTTGTGTATTTTACTTTAATTTCTTAGTGCTTAGTTCTTAGATAGATAGATAGATAGATAGTTAGTTAGTTAGACCGAGATAGAGAGCGAGAGAGAGAGAGGAGATAGATAGATAGATAGATAGATAGATAGATAGATAGATAGATAGATAGATAGATAGATAGATAGACAGACAGACAGACAGACAGACAGACCGAGATAGACATAGATAAGATAGATGACAGACCAACAGACAGACAGATAAGATAAGATGACAGACCAACAGACAGACATAGATAGATTAGAATAGAATAGAACAGAATAGAATTTTTTTTTTGTTGGCCAAGTGTGATTGGACACACAAGGAATTTGTCTTGGTGCATATGCTCTCAATGTACATAAAAGAAAAGATAGTTCATCAAGAATCATAAGGTACAGCACCTAATAGTAGTCATAGAGTACAAATAAACAATCAGGAAACAATCAATATAAATTGTAAGGATACAAGCAACAGATAGATAGATAGATAGATAGATAGATAGATAGATAGATAGATATGATAGACAGACCGAGATAGACATAGATTAGATGATAGACCAACAGACATAGATTAGATAAATTAGATAGATAGATATAGATGATAGGCAGACAAAAATACAGTTAGATAAGAAAGATGATAGACCAACAGACAGACATAGATTAGATAGATAAGATAGATGACAGATCAAGACAGACAGACATAGATTAGATAGATAGATAGATAGATAGATAGATAGATAGATAGATAGATAGATAGATAGATAGGGCTTATCTTGTCTCTCTTGTTTATCTCACCATCTATTTTAATGACAATATTATGTATTTTTCATTTGAGGAATGATAAGCTAACCTGGGAGAGTGGCCTTGCTGAATCTATGGTGAGGAGAAAGATTTTGTTTTATTTTATTTATTTGTCAAACAGAAATCACAAATTTGAACAAACAAAATAAAAAAAACCTAAAATGTGTCAGGGACAATCGGCACGTTTGTGCACTTATGCAGGCCCCCTTAGGAACCTCTTAAAATATGGGGTGAGGTCCTCAGAAGTTAAATATCAAATTGTTACTGAAGAATTTTGTGGCGCTTTTACTTTTCTGTGACATTTATAGACATTTGCAGCTAGGTGCTTTCACTCCACGGTCTGTCAGAAGCCCAGAAGTCAGCTGGGAAAAGATTTTCAGTAAGTAAGAAGGCATCAAGATTGAACTGAGGAAAAAAATATAAGAACGATGCAGTTCAAGATGCTGCCATTTCCAGCCAATGAGAGGCCATCTGTGAAAACTGAGGCCGTGTGGCAGGGTGAAGAGCCAATGAAACAGTGGAGCCCCCCAAACTGGGCAACCAATCGGCTGTTTTGGCGGGAAAAAACGGCTATAAAAGGGGCAGCAGGCGAGGGCTTCTCTCAGAGAGCTGAAGAGAAGAGGCCAGAGCAGGAAGAGCAGCCCTGAGGGGGCAAAAGAGCTGAATCTCCTCCAAAGGCATTCAGTCACTCCTTGCTGAGCCACTGAGCTGAAGCCCCACCAGAGAACAGAAGGAGCCAAAGAGCTGGAGGACCAAAGAGGCCAGAGCAGCAGCAGCTCTGAGGGGCCGTAGAGCTGAAGCCCCTCCAGAGGCATCTGGGCTGGAGGCTGAAGAGGACAGAAGGGCCGGAAGAAGCCAGAGAAGCAGCCCTGAAGCAGTTTAAGTCACTTCCCACTGAGCTGACTGAAATCATCCAGGCTGAAGAATGGGTGGGGGGAGGCTTGGAGTGGCCAAAGAGCTGGAGGTCCAGAAGGCCAGAAGGGCCAAATAAGCTGTCCTGTGCCTTAAAGAGGCATTTCAAGACCCAGCTGGTGGACATGTCCAGAAGCAAGAAACTATTGGGCAAAGATTAGAATATGGCTAGAGAAAATGACACAGCAACATATTGACTTAAAACCAGAATTGTTTCTGTTGGGTATTCTTTCCGAGAAGTATAGTAAAGAACACACACATTTGACAATACATGTAATAACGGTGGCGAGAATTGTATTTGCACAAAATTGGAAAGCAGAAAAAACTCCTACAAAGGGAGAGGTCATTAAGAAAATATTGGAATGTGCAGAAATGAATAGGTTGACATTGGCAATTAAAGGGAAAGACGAGTCGGAGTATTATAAAATATGGGGAAAATTTTATCAATGGATAGAAAGTGAGTATAGATAATAAACGGTAAAGATAAGAACTTTGGGATGAATAAGTTGTAGTATATTAAAATTAAATGAAAAAGGGAAGACAAATGTATGTATTAAATGAGAGGAAGTAGAAAAGGGAAGGAGAGGAGGAATGAGGGAACTAGAAAGAGATAGAAGGGAAGAAGAAAAGGAAAGGTTGTGTTAAAATAAAGGGAGGAGATGGTAGAAGAGCAGACCCGAATAACTAATTAGCAAATGGAAGTTAAAGAATAAGATGAATGAATCATGATTAAAGATGGACAAAAGACTGTACATTTAAATATGTTGATAAAAAATAAAAATAAAAAACTTTGGAGTGGGGGGGGAAAGACCCAGCTGGGCTGTGAGAGCTGAATCCTGCCAACATTTTATGTATTGCTAACTCGTTGGGTATCCAAAGCTTTGAGGAACAAACTTGCAATACCATCAGCCTCCCTTCAAATTACTTTCGGTTTGAGCGGCCCTTGCAAGCCCATACATGAAGCTTAACGCTACCCCCCCACTTCCAAAAATTTAACTTCAGGGAAGGACACTAAGCTGGCGTGTTTCTTCTTGGGACAAACCAGGAGTAGGAAATGCGAGTTTTTCCCTGCGCGAACATAGTTTGGCATTAGAGGAAAAAGACTCGAAGCCAAATTGCCGATAAAGCGGCAGAGACGAGATAAGAGGTCCGGGGAAGAGTTTGACTCAAGAGTTTTGCCAAATCAAACTTGCTGCTGGGGAGGAGATCGGTTTCCCCACTCTCTGCTGTGGGAATCAAACCGGACCCAGGCAGCTGTTCAACAGGTTCGACTTTCCCCCCCCCCAGCTGTGCAAAACTCGTTTCTGGAGGGGTTAAAATAGATCAGATCCAGGCTGGGAATCCTGGGCGAGGGAATCCCAGCCTGGGGAAAATAGGACGTCGCCCTCTATGCCCGTTTGAAACTTTTGCGAAGGCACTTCCGAACTAGTCAAGGCGCTAGTCCCTAAGAATCGCGCACAAAAAAAAAAAAAAAGAGGAGAGATAGTCTTGTCTATCTATTTCTTTACCCGATGACGTAGGCCAAAATAGCCAGCTGGACCAACCGGTTCATGAACCCCACTTTGCGGCTCTTGATGGACACGATCCTCGGGGTGTCGTACTCGAAGAGGAAGTTGTAGAGGGCCCCGCAGCGCTTCCAGGGGGTGTCCATGGCTGCCAGCCGCTCGGCCGAAGCGAAGGGAGAAGCGCAGGGTCAGCAAGCCGGAGCCGCCCGCTTCCTGCCGCTCGCTCGCTGCATGTTGCAAGAAAACGCCGGGCCGGGCTTGGGGTTTGCGGCCGAGGCGTGTCCCTGCCCTTCGATTGGCTGCAGGGAGACAAGGCGCTTCCCACCCGCAGACGATCCATGCCTGCGGTGCAAAGCCACACGGAGCAAACATCGCTGAGCATCTCCCAAGACAAATACGCGCAATGCCATCTGACCACGATTACAGCCAGGAGAGGATGATGGGAACTGAAACCGCCCCCCCCTTCAGCAGGGGGTTAGAGCGGGGGTCTCCAACCTTGGCCACTTTAAGCCTGGAGGACTTCAACTCCCAGAATTCCCCAGCCAGTTTAGGAGTCTCCAACTTTGGCCCTTTAAGCCTGGGGGACTTCAACTCCAGAATCCCCAGCCATCTTAGGCGTCTCCAAACCTTGGCCACTTTAAGCCTGGGGGACTTCATCTCCCAGAAGTCCCCAGCCATCTTAGCGTTCCAACCTTGGCCACTTTAAGCCTGGGGGTTCATCTCCCAGAATTCCCACCATCTTAGGGGTCTCAAACCTTGGGGCCACTTTAAAGCCTGGGGGACTTCAACTCCAAGAATTCCCCAGCCTCTTAGGCGTCTCCAACCTTGGCCACTTTAAGCCTGGGGGACTTCAACTCCAGAATTCCCCAGCCCTTAGGTGTCTCCAACTGGCCACTTTAAGCCTGGGGGACTTCATCTCCCAGAATTTCCCCAGCCATCTTAGGGTCTCCAACCTTGGCCACTTTTAAGCCTGGGGGACTTCAACTCCCAGAATTCCCCAGCCATCTTAGGCGAGTCTCCAACCTTGGCCACTTTAAGCCTGGAGGACTTCAACTCCCAGAATTCCCAGCCAGTTTAGGAGTCTCCAACCTTGGCCACTTTAGCCTGGAGGGACTTCAACTCCCAGAATTCCCTAGCCATCTTAGGCATCTCCACCTTGGCACTTTAAGCCTGGAGGACTTCAACTCCCAGAATTCCCAGCCAGTTAGGAGTCTCCAACCTTGGCCACTTTAAGCCTGGGAGGACTTCAACTCCCAGAATTCCCCAGCCATTTAGGCATCTCCAACCTTGCCGTTTTAAACCTGGAGGACTTCATCTCCAGAATTCCCCAGGCCATCTTAGGTGTCTCCAACCTTGGCCGCTTTAAGCCTGGGGGACTTCATCTCAGAATTCCCCAGCCAGAATTCTGGGAGTTGAGGTCCTCCAGGCTTAAAGTGGCCAAGGTTGGAGACCCCTGGGGTTAGAGGATGCTGTAGGCAAAGGTGAAGGTATCTGGCTACACCTCACTTTTTAAAGCAGGAATTATTTTTAACGGAACCCACTGAAGAGATAAAAGTAGCCCCATTTCTGGAGGTGAAGCGATATTTGCATTGCATGCAGAGTGGTGGTTAGGGGCACAGAAGCGTGCCATACTAAAGTTAGTACCCCAAATACGCAGTGGGGGTTTCTGAGCTCAAAATCCTCACTCCGTAACTCCCAAACCCTTCGCTGTGGCTCATCAGTTCATTAAATAACGTTAAGATATCACACAAGGTAGCTAAGGTGGAATTTAATTGGGCTGCCACATAAATCAGCAGCTTAATGAGGCTGCAAATTTTATGCATGTGCTAATTGTTAAAATAATTATTCAGCTTGAATTCTTATGCACATTTGCTTAGTGGTTCGGCCTGACTGCTGCTTATTTTAATCCTGAATCAATGTAGATCAAGAGAGCGATTCAGATCCCAAATAGACCTACCTGTAAACCAATTCTATAGGGAAAACCAGGTAGGTCCTTCTCCGACAGCAAAACAGAACCGGACTAGTTGCCAAGCCTTTAGTCAGCTTTTTTATAATTAAGTCTATAATAATAATAATAATAAATTTATTTACGGTCACAGACCAAAATGCAAGCATAGCTACAGAAAAACATAGGAAAAAGAACATCAAGAACAGCCGTATAATTAAGTCTAAATATGAAAATGCCAACTGGAATTCCTGGTTCACAACTACAAAGGACTTAATCTTCCTTGGTTTTTTTTTAACCAGACCATTTCCATCATGCTTTACAATTTCTTAATCAGTTGAAATTAAGCACACGCGCAGTGTTTTATTCTTATAAATTTAATTTCCATCTGTACAATGCACAGAGAATTCACACGAGCATATTGTATAAAAAATGTACAAACTCTGCAACCATATATAATCTTTACTGCAACATGAGATTAAAAGGAAATTGCAAAAAAAAAAAAAGTGCTAAGAAATAGATTCCATTTTGCAACAATTAAGTAGATGAGCGCAGAAAAGTTAGCAGCCACTTCAATGTTATGTTTGCTTCAATGCTTCTGATAAAGAAAAAAAAAAAACCCACTTGAAATAACTTGCTAGGCCAGCTTTGGAACAGGCCGTCAAATGATTTTTTAAAAACAGCATAGCACAGCAATTTGTGAAAAAATACGTGGGGCCAAGTCTCTCTTTGTGTAGACTTTTTTAGGTACCAAAGTCCTGTTATGCAATGAAATTGAATGGAAAAGTTGTTTACGCTGTCCCAGCCGGAGATTTTTCACACGCGGCATCCCTGCAATTCACAAAATTTCTAGACAGCAAAAAAGCATCTCCCGGCCATATTCTGTGCACTAAGAACAGTTCTGCACTGTCCTTCTCGTCATCTCTATCTCCCTCCCTTCTATATGGAGATGCGGAAAGTGAACTGTGTATGTGTGTGTGTGTGTGTGTGTAGAGGTTAAAGGTCATGGTATCGGGGTGTGCAGCACACTGCTGCACCTCAGATGCCTATGTATCTTGCATGCCTGTATGATCTCATTCTGGCTCTGGTCTGTATTATCTCACCTTGCCTTCACCATCAGGATGATGGCATCTTAAGGGGGGCGAGTAGTATCTACCAATAATAACACTGCTGCTAGTTTGCCTTTCTCTGCTTGTAAAAACTGTCTAAAAGCAATAAACGCTGCGAAGGGAGAGGGACATCTTCACACCTTGCAAATGACTCTGATTTCTACATGTGTGTGTTAGGGTTAGGGACATTTTGCATGGAAAATATCCAGGCTTTGAAGGATATTTAAACATGGGAAGATACCAATCTTGAAAACGAAAGGCATTTCCCCCCCATTTCCTGAGATAGGAGTTACGGGAAAAGAAAGTTGAAAAGACAGCTGAGCTACGGAAAAAGAAAAGTGCAAGCAGGTTGAAAACAAAATAAAGGGTTCTTGTTTTTAAAAAAAAATAAACAAGGGGAGGTTTTTAAACAAAGGCGGCTTTGTGTTGGGATCAGTCAACCAAAACAACCTGGCTTAGCAAGTCCTTTCACACCGGTAAACCGCTGCTGAGTTTCTGGGAAAAAACGAACAGGTTTGTTCAGTAGTTTGGCTGCCTAAACATCAGAAATCGGGGCCCTTTTCCATGATATTTCCAATCCTGGATCTCTCCTGATATCCCAGTGAGGTAGGCAAGGATGAGCAGGGGAAAGGAGGCACAAAGCCTTCCGGTGATTTTCATGGCTGAGCTGGGATCGAAACTCTGCTCCCTTCTGACCTTATCCCATAGTCTAAACATCATCTAGTTCAGTGTTTCTCAATCTTCAAGCTTCCAAGGTTGAGAAACACTGATCTAGTTAGAGCCAAGATGACAACAGAGCCATAAATGGCAATTTCTGAAAAGCAAAACAGATTACCCGTATTTTTCGGACTGTAAGACGCACCTAAATTTACAGGAGGAAAACAAGAATTGTTTTTGACCTCCGCGTGTTGCATTTTTGCCCTCCTAAGCCTCCAGAAGAACTCTGCAGTGCTCGGCACAGCCCGTTTTTGCCAAAAACGCACCCATTTTTGGCCTGCAGAGTGCTTCTGGGGACTTAGGAGGGCGAAAACGTGATGCGCGAAGGGTTCGGGAGACCAAAACCGCCGTATTCGGTCTATAAGATGCACCCAAATTTTCACCCACTTTTAGGGGGGGGAAGGTGTGTCTTATACTCCAAAAAATACGGTAATTGGCACACGTGCATATCCACCCTTAAGGCCGTAACACAGAGGTGCAACCAACAGTTACTTCTTCTTCCCAAAACCGCTGTATTCCCCGTTCTCGCTCGGAAAGGCATCTCTGATTCTCCACCTGCAACAATTGGGGATCACAGCCCGGGCACTCAGGTCGCCCTCGCCAAAGCGCCAGTGAATATACCTCTCGTAAGCGCAGTGCCGAAAGGGCTTGTTGGCGACCTCAACACCACTCAGATCCAATAAGGGATCTTTGTAGAGCAGAACGAATTCCAGCACGGATCGGGACAGGACGAGCTGCTCAAACAAAGAGGAATTGGCGATGCAGGGCCCGTCTGTTTTGCGGCAGCAGAGCTGTTCCCAAAAAGGATCTGCCGGCCGGCACTTTCCGCAGCAGCACCAAGAAGGACGTTCGCGGAAGCAAGGACCCTCCCTTCGGTTTTGGAGGAGCTGCAGCTCTTCAGCATTTTGCGGGGAGATGGTCCGGTCCCGATATGGAAGTTGGGAAGACTGCGTAAAATCCCCTTGGCGCTTCTGTAGGTGAAAAACATCATATTGGTTGGCGGGTGATGGTTTTTCTCCAAAGGGAGACGCTTGGAAAGGAAGGGAAATGTGATGCGGTGGCCTAGAGGTGGAGCTCTTGCCTCACAATCAGGAGTTGTGAGTTCGATCCTAGGTAGAGGCAGATATTTCTTCTTTTGTCGTTTAATGACCCCATAATCCCTTGCCGGGCACAATGAGAATATATCTGCTGCAAACTCTGCATTGGCGACAGGAAGGGCATCTGGCCAGTAAATGCTCAGCTACCCCGTCCGATACCTATGCACACCCCAATAAAAAGGCCTGGTGGCTCAGCAGACTGATAGCATTGTGATTAACATTCAGCTGTCTGCAATTACTGTAAGTTCGAATCTCCCCAGGCTCAAGGTTGACTCAGCCTTCCATCCTTTCTAAGGTAGGTAAATTGAGGACCCAGTTTGTGGGGGCAATAAGATGACTTTGTATAAATGTACAAAAGGATGAAGGCTGTTGCTTAACGCATTGTAAGCCACCCTGAGTCCCCGGAGAAGGGCGGCATATAAATCAAATTAAAAAAAAAAAGAAGAAGATTCCAAACTCACCTCAATAACCCCGCCCTTGATGGCCTGCAAACTGGTCTCTGACAATTTGTCGATCATTAGGATGCCAGGCTCATCAACGTAAGTCACGTAAAACAAAGTCTGTCCAGATTCCAGCCAAAGAAAATCAAAGGAATTAAGGTTTAGTATGTTACTGGATAGGTGTGATATTCCGTAATGATTATGTCAGCTTTGGAAGCCCTATTAACCCGGGAAGCTTACACTGCCGCCGACTTCTTGCGCCTGGGAAAGTAGGAGGGGGGGATTTGGTCGAGCGATTTGAGTTAGACATAATAGCATTCTTCTTTTCGGTCAAGGTCAGGGTGTTCTTGCATCTGGAAGAGGAGTGGTTGCAGTGGGGGCTTAAGTTGAAAGATTTATATGAAAGATTTGAGATGATGCTTATATGAAAGATTTGAGATGATGCTTGTCTCGGGAGTTTTTAATTGGAGTTGGGTCGTTCTGGAACGCTGACAGATTAACAGCTCAAGATTCCACCTTGCACCAACGCAAGAAAGCGATTTCTCAGGATGGCAAAAACAGAGGAGAGGGGAAGGATATTCTTGGTAGTACAGTGGTCTAAAGCACCCTGTTATTAACACAGCTGCCTGCAATTACTGCAGGTTCGAATCTCCCCAGGCTCAAGGTTGACTCAGCCTTCCATCCTTTCTAAGGTAGGTAAATTGAGGACCCAGTGGTGGGGGCAATAAGCTGACTTTGTATAAAATATACAAAAGAATGAAGGCTATTGCTTAGCACATTGTAAGCCGCCCTGAGTCTCTGGAGAAGGGCGGCATATAAATCAAATTAAAAAATAAATAAATAAAAATATTCTGCATATATCATATCATGTATCGTATCTGCATGCATATCATGCCACTCCATCCCAGCACTGATGATGTCGCCTAGTTGGGTCATGAGATGTCTGCGAGAAAACCACTAAGCTCAGAGAGCACCAAGGACCTCACAGTCCTCCTCCTCCTCTTCTTCCCTGCAACCCCCACCTCTCCTCTAGCACTGATGGTGTCATCTAGTTGGGTCATGAGAAGTCTGCGAGAAAACCACCAAGCTCCCCACAGTTCTATGAGCTACATTGGCCACCATGGATGGGTCTCCACAGGAGATTAAAAAAAACCATAACATGGTCTGTTCATTTTGTAAGGGAAGAGTTGAGATCCCCTCCTGATGCTAAGCAGGGACCTTTTCCTGCACTGAAACGTCCATAAGGAACGACAACACATGCCACAATTTAGTCATAACTCTTACGCTTCTTGGTCCCAGCACCTCCTGACACTTTTTATTGTAATAATACTCCTTCACCGGATCAGGTTTGCAACAGCAGCCCGTAGATGAAGTGAGCAGACAATCCACGGCTACCTGAGCCTGCAAAGACAAACACCGGGCAGGATTATACAGGCTGTTCTTCTAAAGTAGGAGTCTCCAAACTTAGCAAGAACTATAAGACTTGTGGACTTCAACTCCCAGAGTTCCTCAGCCAGCATGGTTAGCGGAAGCATTCTGGGAGTTGAAGTCCACAAATCTTAAACTTGCCAAGTTTGGAGACTCCTGTCCTAAAGATATAATACATTCATAAAATGATTTGGAAATTTGGAAACCAGGAATTAGAACCGTGCCAAAGCATGACGGCCAAGAAAGCCTTCAACAAAAGCATCCAAAGCTATTTTTTTCGAGACAGCTGAGTTGGACATCCAAATACCAGCACAAATTTTTATTTATTTTATTTTTATTTTATTTCCAATTTATATACCGACCTTCTCCCTGAGGACTCAGGGCGGTGTACAGCCAAAATTAAGAACATGAAATACAAATATTAAAAACAATTAAAATATATATAAATTTGGTCCCAAAATTAAAAATCACAAACCAATTAAAACATTTAAAAATTTCTTCTTAAGCCAGCCCGGCTTGCTGGAAAAAGTGGGTTTTAAGGGCATGACGGAAGGCACTGAGGTCCCCCCATCCTTAAACCCACCCCCCATCCTTAAAACCCAACTCAAGAAAGGGGGCGATTCACCCACGGCAGATATTTCACCTCTGAATTCGCCCCCCGAGACCCTGCAGTAGAAAAATATCTTACCAGGCCGAAGTAGGAAAGCACTGATCCAATGTACACCACCACCTCAAAGAAGTCCAACCTCCCAGCCTTTGGAAAAGGAGAACAGAAGTGATGACCATCATGTCAAGAGGGAAACCTGCTAAGACCCTTTGCCTTGCCTTCACGGGCACAGAGGTAGTCCTTGACTTACAACAAGAACCGAAACATGTGGAGTTACTTCTGAGTAGTTCCTTTCTTCTTTCTCACCTTTAGACAGAAATCTTGCCAAACTAACGCGGACTATTTGCATCAGGAAAGATCTACTCTGAGAACTTATAAGGAAGAGCCGTCTTCTTAACTCTTCCTTCCAACCAAACTACCGTGTTTCCCCGAAAATAAGACCCTACATTATATATTTTTTGAACTTCAAAATAAGCGCTTGGCCTTATTTTCGGGGAGGTCTTATTATTTTGGGGCGCCTGGAGCAAGATGGGGCTCCTCTCGCCGTCTTACCCGATTTCCAGCTCTGCGTTTAAATATTTTCGGGGAGGGCTTATTTTCAGGAGAGGCTTATTTTAGCGCATGTGCTCAAAAGCCCAACTGGACTTATTATCAGGGGATGCCTTATTTTGGGGGAAACAGGGTATCTATCGTATTTTTTCGCGTCTAAGACGCTACTTTTTCTTAAAAGTATTTTCTTGAAAATGGAGGGACGTCTTATAGACACGAGGCCGAACATGCTGGACGAGCCTCTATTTTATAGGCAGCTCTATCATTCCTCTCTATTGTAGTTGTTTTCTGTATCACACTGCCAGTCTAGGTTTCATCTCTATTGTTCCTGTGATACGTTACCTGTTCTTGTATTACTCACTCTCTTATAAGTTGGCTTCTGCACAGTGATGGCTTGTAGTGTGCTTACTACAAGAAACTACATGAAACATGGGGGTTGTCAACTCGCAAAGCATCCCTGGCTTGCTCTCGAGTTGCCATAGGCAAGGTGGGATGGGAAACCGACGAAGCAGACGGCAGCCAAATACAAAAGCACATTCCAGACATATCTCTCTCAAGGCTGTCTCCCAGGGTTACCCACAGCGGCCGGAGAGGAGTGATCTCTACAACCTGCGAAATTGCTCCATTGGCAAATGTGATTGATGACACACCCTGGGGGGAGGGGGGAAACAGGGTCATGATTAGGGCGTAAATTACGTGGGGTCAGAGCTGGCTTCACTTGGAACGTGCTGACATGAAGCTCCTCATAAATAACTGGATTTCTTTTGAAGCTTGGCTCACGATTCAGTTAGGGCATCTGTTGGAACTCTGACAAGGGCATCCTATACATGGGGGCATCTTATAGATGGAAAAATACGGTAATCTTTGTTGTCTCTTGGTCCTCTGGAACACAGCCCCCTCCCTCCCTTCCTGAGCATCCAGGCTACATTCCACTACATCATCCCACACATGGCAATTTTCCTTCCCATCCGAACAGCAAGGAGAGGGAAGCGGGAAATATTCCGGATCAAGACTTTAAGAAGATTTAAATTCTCCAGGTGGGCCGCTAGAGACACACCCCAATTGCGATCTCTGCACCAGCGACTGACTTACAAACTCACCCTGCCCATGGGGGGGAGGGGTATTTCTCACTGGAATGATGTGGGGTTTCCTCATCTAAAATGAAGACGGAGGGAAGAAATCCAGATGGCGTTTACCGTTCCAAAGATGAGGATGTCGAAACGGATGCCGTAAGCTTTGATCAGGGTCCTTTCCTCCCTTCCACCCAGCTGCTTGTAATACCTGGCAAATCTAGAACGATCAGACAGGAAGAACTGTTGTAGCGTCGGGTTCAAATCTCAGGTGTCCTCTGAGCCTGATTGTTTTCCTGCAGACGTCTTAATACCAGGCTAGGTAGCTTCATCAGTACGGTGGCCCAAGCGTTCAAAACAAAAACTGAGGGACCGTGACATCTATCATGCTGACTGTAGGGATGCTATGATGGTCCTAAGTGCGAGGATCAGTCGGGGGCTGCCACAAAGAAGAGGGAGTCAAGCTATTCTCCAAAGCACCTGAGGGCAGGAGAAGAAGCCAGAACCTTGGACCAGAAGACCTCCAAGCTCCCTTCCAACTCTGTTGTTACGATCATCACGTGGAACAATAAAACAGATCCTCCCTCCTGATCTGCGACACCCCTCAAAATCACAAGTGCTTGAATATCCATTACCTGAAGTTGTACCCAGGGTACAAGGCTTCGTTGGTTCGTTTGTCATCCAGGCGCCGGAAACCGTAGTTGGGCTTGCAACGGTGCGCCCATTTGTCTAAGTTGCAATCCCAGTTAATTTCAATGCCAATGATGCCTCCCTGGGAGAAGATCGTCAGAGAAGTACATTTGCAAGATGGATTGAGCATCCGACCTACACAAAAAGACCCCGAAGGGGGAGACTCTCTGCAGCATCACAAACCTTCATTGCACGTATCCGTCCCAGGGGCCGTAGTTTCAGGACCCCTGATTTAATGCAATACAAAAAATGAAAATAATTTTTCTTCGGACCACCAAAATTTTCTCACGGACCACCGGTTTAAATTCTCCTTTTCGCCATCGAATGCAACTTTTGCCCTTATTAACTCAGCCCTTCCAACTAACAGCAGCAATAAACAAATAAATAGTCCTCTGGCCACTTTCAAAGTGCCCCCTACCTGAACGGCCACTTCTGAAAACTTCTCTCCTGCCTCTTGAAGAATATCCCCCAGACGAAAAATGGGGCAAAGCGAAGCTCTGTGCTTGCTGTATATACAGGAAACATTAAATTCCGCTGGAATATTTCTTCTGCAGGGAACAATTAGAACAAGCCATCAGTGGAAGGATTTGCCTTCAGAAGTTTGGGGGGGTGGGCTTTGCAGTTATTTTGACAGGGAGCTATTAAGGCAGGGCTTGAGAACTCTTAACACCGGATGTTTGTAAGAAAATCTGGCCTAAATCTTCTCCTTTTAAAAATTTTTAAACTTAAATTTTAAACACTACTTTTAATTTGTTTAATTATGGGATATTTTAAAATTGAGCCCAATTGTTTAATCTGTTTTAATCTATTTTAAATTTTGTATTTCTGTGTTTTATCTTTCGCCTGTTCACCGCCCTGAGTCATTCGGGAGAAGGGCGGTATAGAAATCTAATAAAAAGTAAAAAAAAAAAAGTAAAAGGGATCGATTTCCCAGGAAGAGAACAGGAGGGACCCTCCCTTCAAATACAGCCATCCCAAGCCCAGAGCCCACTTACGTCGTATAATCAAATTTTGGAAAGTGGATGTTGTTTTTTATAAGCACGGTGAAATTCTCAGCACTGTCCAGAATGGCTGGCCTGGAAGGATGAAAAAATCCACGTCAGTTCTCACTTATTAAACAGTCATGATCACCCCCCCACCACCCAGGTAATTGAATCATTTTAGCTGGGGAGTCTGTTCAAGAGGCTGGGCACTGGGGTCTGCAAAATGCATGCCAGAGACCCATTGTGGTTTACACCGATTGGTTTCTCTGAACAGTATTCAAGGATGGCCCTCAAAAATGCCCTGCAGTTATTGTGACAGGAAGCTATTAAGGCAGGGCTGTTCACCCTTGAGAACTTTAAGACTTGTGGACTTCAATTCCCAGAATCCTAAGACTTGTGGACTTCAACTCCCAGAATCCTAAGACTTGTGGACTTCAATTCCCAGAATCCTAAACTTGTGGACTTCAACTCCCAGAATCCTAAGACTTGTGGACTTCAACTCCCAGAATCCTAAGACTTGTGGACTTCAATTCTCAGAATCCTAAGACTTGTGGACTTCAATTTCCAGAATCCTAAGACTTGTGGACTTTAATTTCCAGAATCCTAAGACTTGTGGACTTCAACTCCCAGAATCCTAAGACTTGTGGACTTCAATTCCCAGAATCCTAAGACTTGTGGACTTCAACTCTCAGAATCCTAAGACTTGTGGACTTCAATTCCCAGAATCCTAAGACTTGTGGACTTCAACTCCCAGAATCCTAAGACTTGTGGACTTCAACTCCCAGAATCCTAAGACTTGTGGACTTCAACTCCCAGAATCCTAAGACTTGTGGACTCAACTCTCCCTACCTTAATGCAGGGGTGTCCAACTTTGGGAACTTCTTTAAGACTTGTGGACTTCAACTCCCAGAGAGCATGGCTGGCTGGGGAATTCTGGGAATTGAAGTCCACAAGTCTTAAAGAAGTTCCCAAAGTCGGACACTCCTGCATTAAGGCAATTAAACAGGGAAGGAGACAGACTAAAAGAGGAAACAGGAGCAGCTAAGAAAAAAGCACCTACTTTGGGGCGGTTTTGATTGACTCCACAGGACACCAAGCGGAGACTTCACACGTGTTGACGGTGCTGTTATATTTCACACACTTGCCTGTCTGGATGCCTACCGAGGGAAGAGAGACCCCCCCACCATCCAGTGGTGGGTTTCAAATTTTTTTACTAGCAGTTCTGTGGGCTTGGCTTGGTGGGTGTGGCTTGGTGGGCGTGGCAGGGGAAGGATACTGTAAAATCTCCATTCCCACCCCACTCCAGGGGAAGGATACTGCAAAATCCCCATTCCTCCTTTATCAGCTGGGACTCGGGAGGCAGAGAATAGATGGGGGTGGAGCCAGTCAGAATTTTTACTACTGGTTCTCCGAACTACTCAAAATTTCCGCTACCGGTTCTCCAGAACTGCTGAAACCCACCTCTGCCCACATTTCATCAAGGACCCTCACCTGGAGACCAAACATTTCGTTGGAAAGGAATTTACAACCACGAGGGTGAAAATGAATCTGGCTTACCGTTACCCTGTGGGTCTACTCGACCTTTCGTGCAGCTCTTGTCGGTAGAACACACCGCTTTGGCAAGAGGAAACTGAAAGCATAAAACAGGAAAAAAACACATTTTAAACTTATTGGTCTCTCTCTCTCTCTCTCTCTCTGTATCTCTCTGTGTGTGTGTGTGTGTGTGTCTCTCTCCCCCTCTCTCTGTATCTCTCTATGTCTCTCTCTCTCTCTCTCTCTCTCCCCCCCTCTCTCTGTATCTCTGTGTCTCTCTCTCTCTCTCCCCCTCTCTGTATCTCTCTATGTCTCTCCCTCTCTCTGTTTCTCTCTATATCTCTCTCTCTCCCTCTCTCTGTTTCTCTCTGTCTCTGTCTCTCTCTCCCCCCCTCTGTATCTCTCTGTCTCTCCCTCTCTCTCTGTTTCTCTCTCTCTCTCTCTCTCTATCTGTCTCTCTCTCTCTGTATCTCCCTCTCTCTCTCCCTCTCTCTGTATCTCTCTCTCTCCCCCTCTCTGTATCTCTGTCTCTCCCTCTCTCTCCCTCTGTTTCTCTCTCTCCCCCGCTCTGTATCTCTCTCTCTCTCTCTCTCTCTCTCTGTATCTCTCTGTCTCTCCCTCTCTCTGTTTCTCTCTCTCTCTCTCTCTCTCCCCCTCTCTCTGTATCTCTCTCTCTCTCTCTCTCTCTCTGTCTCTCTCTCTCCTAACAAGTTGCATCCAGATAATATTTTCCTATTATCTCCTTTTTCCCATGACGCTAGTTTTTCCTCCAGGACGGCTCCTCGGGAGTAGCTTATTACAACAGATCCCTTCACAGGTTGGTCTTCTGTCAAATTCCCCTGCAATTCACAAAAACGCCCTTGCTTTCCAACTTGTAAACAGGTAGAAACCGACACAGCCCGGAGCCTACTCACCAATTTTCTAGCTGATGGGAAGGGAATAAATTAAAAAAAAAACCTTGCCAAGAAGAACGTTGGGCTAGTTACAGCCTGCTTTCCATTGTTTTAAAAACCAGGGAAGTGGGTGGGACACACAAACCAGTACATGACTGTATCCGTAGAAATGATTTCAAATTAAATATAAACAGGTTCGCCAAAAATAAATCGCTACCTATTGCCTGTTTCACTTAAAATATGAAGGTCAGGTATGAAATGTTGACTTTGGGTTTTGCTGATTGGACGGGTTTGTTGCTATAGAAATGGCCAGTACCTATTCGTACACGAAAGTAAAAAAAGTTAAAAGTTTGCCTTCAAAGTAAAAGAGTTTGCCTTCATTCGTAAAAAGTTATGTTTGTAATGTCATTTTACTATCTGCGCTAAAAGGACTCAGAAAATCACTTTTTCTTTCTTTTTCCCCCCCGCTCTAGATTACACTTCTTCCTCTTCCCTTTTTCCTCTCCCATTTTCCCATGGCTTGCTTTCTTTCTTTCTTTCTTTCTTTCTTTCTTTCTTTCTTTCTTTCTTTCTTTCTTTCTTTCTTTCTTTCTTTCTTTCTTTCCTTCCTTCCTTCCTTCCTTCCTTCCTTCCTTCCTTCCTTCCTTCCTTCCTTCCTTTTGCATTTTAGCTCTTGGTAAACTTAATATAATTTTTTAAAAAAATAAAAATAGAACAGGTAGGAAATGCTGGTACCTCAGGGCAAAGTCCTTGAACCTGATTTTCGGTCGTGATGATATTAGTCAGCACAAAAAAGGAATTCACACCCTAAATGAACGAAAGAGAAGGGAAAAAGTGGAATCACTCGGTCGGTCTGCTGAAAAACAAATCTATTGCAGGTTCGTGGATTCCTTTGAAAAGAAACCCAGGAGGACAAGAATTTAGGGGGAAAAAAGGGGTGCCCTCCAAGAATTCTAGAAGAAATTTGGGGTCATGGTTATGGTAGCAGGGGACTCTTTTTCTAATGCATCTCTCAGGCTCAAACCCTTCGCTTTTCACTGCTTCACCTGATCGTTTTCTCCTTTGGCTTTCCGGAAAAGGACTCACCTGTGCAGCGATGGTGTATTCGGCTGTATCCCAAACCCTTTTGTCAGTCTGGGACACCCCCTTCACCTTCACGTGCACCGAGCTGATGACCGAATCTTTCTTCTGATAGCGTCGATCGGCAAACAGGACGATGCTGAAGAAACACGGCGGAAAAAGGTTTGAGCTGGAGGGTTCGGTTTTGCGCCCATTTCGCAGAGGGGAAAACTGAGGTTTTAGAAAACTCTCGATTGTCCGTTCGAAGCGGAACAGATCTTGCTTCAGCAAAACATTTCAAGCAAGCTCAGAGAGCACCAGGGAGTCATTGTCCTCCTCCTCTTCCTCCTCCTTTTCACAAAACCTTTCTAGCATGGATGATGTTCCCTAGTTGGGCCAGGAAACGTCTGCAAGAAAACCACCAAGCTCAGAGAACACCAAGGACCCCACAGTCCTCTTCCTCCTCCTCTTCTTCTTTCTTTTCCCTCCCCCTCCTCCTCTTTCTCTTCCTCCTCTTCTCTGCAAACTTCACCCCCATCTAGCCCTGATGATATTCCCTAGTTGGGTCAGAAAATGTCTTCAAGAAAACCACCAAACTCAGAGAGCACCAGGGACCCCCCAGTTCAACCCTGAGCTATCAACCCTCTCTTCTGTTGCTCACGTACAAGATTCCTAGATTTGTGGATTGTTATTTATTCACTTGGACTGGACTAAAAGCCAGACGCTGGGTCGTTCAGAGTGACTGGTTACATCAGAATATTTATTCCGTGTGGGTGGGAAGTCACAAAGCTGCATTTGTCTTCTGATCGCTGGACGAAAACAGCTTCCCCTTGGAAGCCGAGAGATCCTGTCAAAGATTTCTAGATCATTCCAGCCCCCTTTTGCTCAACTCAAGTGAAAAAATGTCTCCGGTCTGAGAATCCACTTCCTTCAACGACGACTCTACTTGAAAATCTTTCCACGCTCCGTTCAGCCCACGTCCACCAGAAATCTCACAACACAACAACACAATGTGCAGCGTGTAACGTCAGAAAGTTTGGATGCCCCAAAAGCAAATATACGAGATTTTTCCACCGCAAGAGATTCCCCAACAATTTCTTGATTATACTTGGGGCAGCAAAGTATCCCGTATTCACACCATCTTAAAACTCTTCCCTGCTGAAAATCATGGAACGTGCTGAAATGAGTAAACTGACATTTCAAATCAGAGAACGGGAACAATATTATAAGAGATGGGATTTATTTTATCAATGGCTAGATAATAAAACATGGAAATGAAATAATATGAAATGAATGTTAGAAAAACAATATATGGAAGTGATTTTTACGGGATGAAAATGCCGTTCTTGAATGAATGACAAATAGGAATAATAATATAAAGATTATAACATTTGATTGATGATGTGAGAAATTAGAAAATTAGTAAATTATGAATGTGAGACGAAGCACAAAAGATTTGTAACCGACCGACACACTGCTTGCAACTGTAATGGAGGATGATGTTTTATGTTTTGTTTAAATAATTAAAAAAAAACACACACAAAAAACTCTTCCATGCTAGTGGATCAGAGGAAGTTGGTCGATGGGAAAATTTTCTATCCAAACGGTAGCATTTACGGTAGCATTGGAATTTTAATTTTATATTGTTTTAATGAGGAACGGTGCATCTTTGCCGTTGTGAGCCGCCCTGAGTTCTTGGAGATAGGGCGGCATATAAATTGCATTATAAATAAATAAATAAATTTACGGTCCACTTTTGAGCGCAAACTCTTACCGTGGTCGTTATTTAAGATATTGAACCGGAGAGGGGATGCAAGGCAACCCAATTCTCCCCCACTTCTCCGATGCCTCCCTTCCCCACTGATTGACCCAAATCTCCCCTTTCCAACTTACCTAACATACAGGAAAACCATGAAATGGATTATCCACTTGAGGCTCCCGTACCAAACGCTGTAGATTCGCACCACTTTGTTGGTTTCGTATTCGAACACGCTCCTCAAGCTGGAACAGGCTGCCATGCTGGGAGGGAGGAAAAAAAATATATATATCTGTCTTTTGGCTTTCAGAGAAACTGTGCAGCTCCTCAGCCCGGAACAACAATTAAAAACCACAACCCCACAAATCTTAAAGGGGCAGGGGAGGAAATGAAAAGCTGATCAGCCTGTCCTTAAGAGGAACTCCTTTTCCCCAAATGACTCAGGCTCCCCCACGCACCCCCTTTTATTCAGGATTGTCAGGAGAGGGAACCATTCAAAGCGCGTTTTATTTGGTAAAAAAGCGTTTCATTCATTAAAAGCTTTTGATTTGAGCTGTAATTCCTGTCTGGATATTGGTGCAGATCAGGGTTCACCAGAAGGAGAGGCGTTTTCCCCTCACATCTTGGTAGGAGAAATAGCTGTACAGCAAGGGTGTCCAAGCTTGGCAACTTTTAAGACTTGTGGACTTCGACTCCCACAATTCCCCAGTCAGAATTGTGGACTTCAATTCCCAGAATTCCCCCGTCAGAATTGTGGACTTCAACTCCCAGAATTCCCCTAACAGAATTGTGGACTTCAACTCCCACAATTCCCCAGTCAGAACTGTGGACTTCAACTCCCAGAATTCCCCAGTCAGAATTGTGGACTTCAACTCCCACAATTCCCCAGCCAGAACTGTGGACTTCAACTCCCACAATTCCCCAGTCAGAACTGTGGACTTCAACTCCCAGAATTCCCCTAACAGAATTGTGGACTTCAACTCCCAGAATTCCCCTAACAGAATTGTGGACTTCAACTCCCACAATTCCCCAGTCAGAATTGTAGACTTCAACTCCCAGAATTCCCCTAACAGAATTGTGGACTTCAACTCCCAGAATTCCCCAGTCAGAATTCTGGACTTCAACTCCCACAATTCCCCAGTCAGAACTGTGGACTTCAACTCCCACAATTCCCCAGCCAGAACTGTGGACTTCGACTCCCACAATTCCCCAGTCAGAATTGTGGACTTCGACTCCCACAATTCCCCAGCCAGAATTGTGGACTTCAATTCCCAGAATTCTCTAGCCAGCACACCTGGCTGGGGAATTCTGGGAGTTGAAGTCCACAGGGCTTAAATTTGCCAAGCTTTGGACATCCCTCTTGTACAATATGCCGAAAGCCACACCTTTTATTTTGCACTTTCTAGTTGTTGAGGATGGAGATGAATCTCTCCAGTTTCAGCTAAAGTCTCTTGAATGCTTTGCAAATCCGGGGAGGGGGTTACGTGAATCCAGATCCGAGGGGGGGTTTCTGCCCAATTCGATTTGGGAAAGCCTAATGAGTTGGACATCCTAATTTTGGGAAAGGGTTCCAAGGTGAAAGGGGGAAAAGAGGGTAAGGCAGGTTTTTCCCTAAGGAAAGGGGCTCGTGAATTGGCTCCAATCCCAAAATTGCACCCCGTAACCCAATTCCTAGCTTGTTGGGTCTTCAGGTAACCAAAGACCTGGTCTTGTGTGCTCCTCCACCTGTCGGAGCAAAAACCCAGATGGCTTCAGGGGGTTTCCTTGGCAGCCAAGTGGCAGCTGTTCACTTTTCTCTTTTGCAGGATTTCCTCGTGGTCTCCCATCCCGAGGTTATCCAAGCACTTTAGTCTTTTTTTTTTTTTTTTGCAAATCACCCCGCTGGGACTCAATGCATCCGGTCAGCCCCATTCTTGGGGAGCAGCAGCCCCTTCCAGAGGCGACGCATTCCAATGCAACCCCCCAAACCTTCCTCCAGCGGGCTGTGGATTTTGGGCGTTGTAGTCCAAACCCTCCTGAGTGCCAGGGCAGGGAGGGAGGGGAGGCCCAGTTCATTCGGCCGCGAGACCATCCTCGGCCCCTCCCGAATCCTCTTTTTCTTCTTCATTTTTAAGAGAATTCTGATTTTTTTTCCTTCCACTTTCTTCTTTTTCGCTTCCTCGCATCGCGCAGGCGCAGTCGGATCGCCGCTCTCCCCCCTCCCCACTCTTCCCGAGAGAGCGCCTTGCCCCGCCCCTTCTCATACGTCAACGGCTGGAAGGGGCGTGTCTTCAAGCCGCGCCTCCTTTCTTCCCTCCCTCCCTCCCGCTATGCTGGTCACGTGGGCGGAACTGGACCCCCGTCGCCTAGCAACCGTCACTACAGGCCTAGGCGGGCCCGGCGCTTTTCCCGAGGTGGGGAAGGGGCGCGAGGGGAGGGGAGGCGGAAAGAGGGGGGTGGTCTTTGCGGCCCTCCTTAAAATTTGGGGGCGCTGAGGGCCCTCGCTTCCGTCTAGCCTGAATGGGAGGGGGCTGGGCTGCCCCCCCCAAGAGGATGCAGTTGGATGAGGTGGGAGGGGCCTTTCACCCAAACAGGCCAGTTCCCAACTGCAAGAGGGGTGAGCTACAACTCCCAGAATTCCCCAGGGCTGGGGACTTATGGGAGATGTAGTCCACCCCTCTTGCAGTGGCCCAGTTTGGGAAGCCCTGCAAGGAGCTGGTTGGGCCCCCTTTGCTGGGTCTAAAAATCCCCCCAATCCTCCCCTTTTTAGGCTGCCAACTATGTCAGTAGAGTAATTGAAAGGCCACCCCCCCATCCACAATTGGAGGGAGGGGGGAAAATTCACCTTCCCTGCAAGTGGGGGTGGGAGTTTGCAGCCCCCCAAATGTGCTGTAATAGCCCAAGCAGCCCAGTCAAGTTGTGGATGAACATAGACCCTTATAAGTGAGGTGGGTGGGTAAAAATTTAAATAAGAAAGAAAGAAGGGAGGGAGGAAAGGAAGGAAGGAAGGAAGAGAGAGAGAGAGAAAGAAAGAAAAAGAGGGAAGGAAGGAAGAAAAGAAAAAAGAAAGAAGGAGGGAGGGAGGGAGGGAGGAAAGAAAGAAAGGGTGGGAGGAAAGAAAGAAAGGAAAAGAAAGAAAGGAAAAAAGAAAGAAAGAAAAAGGGAAGGAAGGAAGAAAAGAAAGAAAAAGAAAGAAGGAGGGAGGAAGAAAAGAAAGAAGGAGGGAGGAAAGAAAGAAAGGAAAAAAGAAAGAAAAAGGGAAGGAAGGAAGAAAAGAAAGAAAAAGAAAGAGAAGGAGGGAGGAAGAAAAGAAAGAAAGAGGGAGAGAGGAAAGAAAGAAAGAAAAAAGAAAGAAAAAGAGGGAAGGAAGGAAAGAAGAAAAGAAAGAAAAGGAGGGAGGAAGAAAAGAAAGAAAGAGGGAGGGAGGTTGGAAGGGACCTTGGAGGTCGTCTAGTCCAACCCCCTGCTCAAGCTGGAGACCCCCTGTGAGCATCCTTCCCTTGTGGATATGGCCACTCCCACTATGGACAACGGGGGAATCCAGATGGGGTACGAGGAAGAGAGGAAAAAGAAATCCACAGCCGATGCAACGGAAGAGAAACAACCTAAGGCATTAAAGCCATTTTTGTTGAAGAAATCATTTTCTGCATTTTAATGGCCTGTTTAAAGAGTCTTTGGGGTGGGTGGGTGTTGAGCAGCTGTAATTAATGTTTAATCAAAATTTAACTGAATTTAATTAGTTTTTTTTTGCTTCTTTTTATAATTTGTAAGCCTCCCAGAGTCACCTTGTAGGGGAGATGGGCAGCATAGAAATTGAATCAATCGATAAAAATAATCTAGTAAAATGGAGGGCGGATTAAAAGCAGCGACTTCTTCCTTAACCTCTTTTTCTTTTCCCCTCCTGCAGATCATTTTCTAGACGCCATCATGAGCGACCAACTGAAATTCATTGTTGAGAAGCTCAACAAAGAGCCTTTCAAAAAGAATTTCAACTTGATCACTTTTGACTCTCTGGAATCAACGCAGCTCTTGCAGTTGCTGAGCGATGTCCTGGGCGAGATTGACCCCAAGGTACGTCAGACTTTTACCAGGACAGCAATCTCTGTTTGGAAAACAGTCCTGGTTTTTTTCCTGCATCTTACGGAGCAGGGGTGTCAAATTCGATTTCATTGAGGGCCGCATCAGGGTTGTGTTTGACCTCGGAGGGCCGGGGTGGATATGGCCGGGGTCGGCGTGGCCAGTTCAACGTCACTCGTTTCGGGGGCGCCTTTGGCAGCCCAAGCGCTCTGCCAGCGAAAATGGGCTCCGGAGCTCCGTTTTCGGCTCTGATGGCTTCCTGCAACCCTCTGCCAGCAAAAACGGAGCTCGGGAGGGATGCCTGCGGCCCTGCCGAGCTCCGTTTTCTCTTGCAGAGGCACTGTGGGTCAGTCCTTCGCTATTTCCAGAGCGGCCCCCATAGGCCAGATCTAAGCACCCTGCGGCCGGATCCAGCCTCCAGGCCTTGGGTTTGACACCCCTTGTTGTGACCTAGGCTTACTGAGTCATTACCATACACAATTAGTCCCAAAAAAACCTATTTTATTGTAACAGTTGAGAATTACGTCCATTCCCAGCTGAGTCCCAATTAGTTGCAAAACAGGTCCTTCGGAAGAAATCCTTCAGGATAATCACCAACCTTTATCTTCTTTGACACCCTGCCAAAGGCCTTACTTGGCAAAGCCCCACAAAGTTCAGAAACAAAGAAGAGATGCCGACTGGAAACAGAGTTAGCAACGTTGCTTTCCTGCAAAAAGCCCAAGTGCCTTTGTTTCTCTTTTAAGCCTTATGGGAGGGGCCAATCATCTCCTGGCTTTACTCCCGAGTTATCCCTTTTGCTTTAGCTGCTCTTGCCTTCTGGCAGCTCTGCATGCGTGCACTAGGAACAGGCTCCTCCTGTTCCTTTGCCTCTGGGGGCTCCGGAGTCTGTGCATCACTCCCAGATGGCCCTGGCCCCATTCTGCCTCCGACGCAGAGCCCTCATCCGGGCCTTCCCCTGACTCCAGGACTGGCCCATGTTCCTCTCCAGCCTTCTCACTGTCCGACTCTGCTGCCAGCTCCACAGGCTGCTGGCAGACCACAACACCCCTATTACAGAGGGTTGAACTAGGTAATCCTGGGGATCTTTTTTTCCCTCCAGCTTATGATTCAATCTGATGGCTTGATCCTTTAGCCTTATCCAAGCTGGTGCCCAGATCTGGCAAAGGCTGGACTGATCAAAATTGTGGATGTTTTAACCAACTTATCTGCAGGGTGTCAGACTGTGGAGGACTGATGTACCAAAGGCAGATCTGGCTGGCTTTAGTGGTTTGCCTCGAAATGAAACCCTTTTCTTCATCTTAAAGAGACATGCCTAAGACGATTGAGATCCCGTGAATTTGACTATGCCCGTCCTCAACCCACGGAAGGGAAAATCACATCTGATTACATGACTAATGCTTTCACTTCCTGGAACTTCCATAGAACATCCCCAGGCTCTTAACATTCATTATATTGGATCCCGTTAAGCTGCACACAGTAATGTAGTTTATTTGTGTCAGTTGTAACCTCAACTGTGGTTAAACCTTTCAGCACATCGTTGACATTAGAGAAGAATTGCCGGAACACACAGCAAAACGGATGTTGACCCTGCTCGGCATTCTTAAGTACAAACCTCCAGGAGGTACCAGTGACTTGTAAGTAGTAGTATTAGTAGTAGTAGAGGTAATGTATTAAATGTGTATGCTGCCCAACTCCCAGCGACTCTGAATAGTTTACAAATTACTAAAAACATTTAAAAAAACAAAGGAAAAACACAACCCCCTTCTCAAAACACACAGTTATTATAAAATTCAGCTGTTGTTGAATGCAATAACATCATATATTTACACAAAACTTATCTCTTCTAGAGCCACTGGTTTGTTAGCTTACTTGTCACATGATATTTTGCCATTATCCCTCTTCGTTAGATAATCTTAATTTTGAAGACTGACTGGGCTGAGGAGTTGGGCGCAAGGATGGGGACAGTCATGACAATCTCAGAAAGTTTGTTTTGTATTACATGTTTCCACCTCAGCAAGTTTACGAACATATGTGGGAATCAATCACAATAAAATCAGTTGGATTCTGCTTCCAAACTAACACTATTGATTTGGGGATTTATTTCAGGCTGGATCGGACCGCTGCTGCATATGCTATATTTTTTTCAGCCCCCTTTATACATTCTGCTTAACACTAGAGGGTGCTGCTGTTTTAACGCAAAGCGCCAGTGACTTTTTTTTTTTCAAAGAGCTTACAATATAAAATGGACAGTTCATATTTAGTTGATTAATGGCAAACCAGTAGCTGCTTCTTAGTTAATTCCCTGAACTGCAGCCATGATTGTGTGGGGGAATTTGCCAGGTTTATCTGAAGAGGATGGCATTTGGCATGGTTCCAGGGCTAAATTAAATCGGGCACCTGGTGCTGTGGCCAGCTTTTACAGACAACCTCTCAGAGACAGTTGCTGAGAAAGGGAGATTTTAATTCATTTGTCTGAATAGATACAGGGGCTGGGCCTTCACCGAGGCACAGTCTTTCAGAGCAGCTGGGGATGAAAACTGGAAGCATAGAAGTTATCAGCCTTTTGGAAAATTTAGAAAAATTGGGAGACGGTTTGATTGATGAAGGGACATGGTGGCTCAGGGGCTAAGACGCTGAGCTTGTCGATCGAAAGGTCGGCAGTTCAGCGGTTCGAATCCCTAGTGCCGCATAACGGGGTGAGCTCCCGTTTCTTGTCCCAGCTTCTGCCAACCTAGCAGTTCGAAAGCACATAAAAAAAGCAAGTAGAAAGATAGGGACCACCTTTGGTGGGAAGGTAACAGTGTTCCGTGTGCCTTTGGCGTGCCAGCCACATGACCACGGAGACATCTTCGGACAGCGCTGGCTCTTCAGCTTTGAAACGGAGTTGAGCACCGCCCCCTAGAGTCAGGAACGACTAGCACAGATGTGCGAGGGGAATCTTTACCTTTACCTTTACCTTGATTGATGAAGAATCACACAACAAACCAGTGTCTTTGAGTTTGAAAAATTGTCTGATTTAACTGACCCTCAGCCCTTTGATAGCTATGCAAGAAACTGCTAACTCTTGGCTACCGTTATTTTAAATCTTTGAATGATTTTATTCCTGTT